GGAGACCAATCTCCAACTGCAGACCAACATACAGTATTTACTACTTTATTTATATGAATGGAGGCATACCCTTTATCATTCGTAGGTATGCTACAATATAAAGAAGAGAGAGAGAGAGAGAGAGAGAGAGAGAGAGAGAGAGAGAGAGAGAGAGAGAGAGAGAGAGAGAGAGCATGTCAGGAGGAGTCAGGTACTTTCTGCTGCGGTACAAAAACTGACAAATTTTCCAGCATCTTTAGCGATGTTTCACTTGAGATGTGGGATGAACTTGAGTCGCAATAAACCTTCAAGGCCTTCATCATGACTGGGAAAAAATCAGGATCGTCTCGGTGATAATGATAGGTTACCAAATTGGTTTTGAATCTTCTTCTTTTAATATATACCGGGTCCCTTGAGGAAGTTAGCGATCATGGCTCTCCACAATTTCCTGTTATTTATAGGTCTTAACAACTTTTGTCTTTTTTGCCAGTTATCACAAACCCTGCCCGCCATCTATTCACTCAAGCTCGCCTGTGCATTGCTTTTATCTGGCCCTCTTACCTTCAATCTGTCCTGTGAGTATCAAATTTTCCAAGCTCTCTTTCCTCATTTCAACTGTCTCTTCCTGATTTTAAGCATAGGTGGCCTTTATGTTGCCATTGTTTCGAGAACTTCGTCGTTGCTCGGTCAATGGTATTCTCAGCATCCTTCTGTAGAACCACATTTCTGTTGCTTCAAGTCACTTCTTCATGTGTGGGGAGATTTCCCAGCATTCACTGCTATATAAGAAGACTGATGCTACATAACACTTTAGTACGCTTTTCTGATTTTAATTGGAATTTTCCTTTTTGTTTCCATTTTCTTAAAATTTCCTTGTCGCTTAGATTCCCCGTCCATAGTATTCTCAGCATCCATCTGTAGAGCCACATTTCTATTCCTTCAAGTCACGTCTTTATCCGTGAGGTGATTGCCCAGCATTCATTGCCATAGAAGTGGACTGATGCTACATAACAGTTTAGTATTGAGCTGTTTGAGCTGAAACCACAGAGTGTCACGAGCTCTATTTTCCCTTTTAAGGAAGACACACTCGCCCAATCAGATATTTTATTCCCCCCCCCTAAAAAAAAACAAAAAAACTATCCATATTTGGTCAGTTTTCCATCCGAAATTAAACAAAGTAATTTCTAAAGACTTGTTGGATTTCCTGTTTTTTTTTTGACGGCTTCATCACTTCAAATGTTATTCTAGTGGATACTCTTATTTGAAATAGACAACCTATTTTATTTTTTACTTTAAACAGTGTGTATTACGGCTATAGGCATGCGCATTCGTGAAATCTTAATAAAGGAAATCTTCTCTCCTGCAAGGTCGAAATATATATATATATATATATATATATATATATATATATATATATATATATATATATATATATATATAACCAATATAGGATTGGTGTATATGGAATAAATTCCAATAACCAAAAAAATACTATTCTTAAAAGAGTGCTCAATAAAGAGTAGAGCAAATATAATTATTTATTCGAAAATTATAACATAAATATGATATAAAATCACTACAAAAATAGCCATTTGTTTCAACACTTATGGTATCTTATAACTGTTGAAACAAAATGACTATATTTGTAGTGATTTTATAACATATTTGTGTTATAATTTTCGAATAAATAATTATATATATATATATATATATATATATATATATATATATATATATATATATAATAATCCGTTGGTATATAATCCAAATAAAACCTAATAATATAAAATATTAAAACTGATCCAGAAAAGAGCTCAATGTATTTATTATAACAGAGCATATAAATTATAAATTACTTCTGAGTTGACAAAGCCAACAAGTCTTGCTTGTAGAAATAGCTATTCGAATGAGGTAAATTTGGAATCCGAGTTCTATGTAATATATATATATATATATATATATATCCACACACACACACACACACACACACACACACACACACACACACACACACACACACACACACATACACATACATATATATCTATTTATCTATCTATTAATAAATGTCCATATCTTCCTGATCAGTAGTACAACTATTTTTGGATTATTTTATTAATGAATTTCATATTTTTTGAATGTTAGTTTTATTGTAAAAAAGAGACCCCCCCTCCCACAAAAATGGAAAAAAAACACTCCTTGTATAAATTATGTCAGGGGGATGTGGTTGCAGAAATTGTCTGACACCCATGACTCTGTTCTCCTGCTCGTGTGTCATAGTTCAGAGGCCTTTTGCTAGACATAGGGTCTTCCAACAGCCACCAACTTGAGCTAGGACAGTACTACCTCCGAAAGCTATTTGATGTAGGCCCCCCCGGGCCGAGTCTGAGACCCTCACAAACAAATTCAGGAGTTCTTTTTATATGAGAACAATCAGACGGAGTTTTCCGAGTTGCCGTATGTTCGTAATTACCATTAGACTCATTCAATTTTTTCCAAACCTTCTATACTGTCCCCAGAT